CCTCAGGACTACACTTGAGACACACACGCTGATAAGGCATCCTGTGCTTTACTAAGTGCTTGTCATTCGTGCGATACCTTACTATTTTGTTGTGAAAGGTAAGGCAACTCCCTGGTCATAGATCGTGATGTAATTCTCGTGAAAGTGAAAAGGAAAAAAAAATAGCTAGCGATTGATATTTCCACTGTTGGTTTTCGTCGATAAATAATATCAAATCTTCATATCTGCCTAATGCTAATTGCTGAAATAAAAACTAACTGGATCATTTTCACAGTTTTCAGTTTTCAAGACTACAACTAACGAAACAAGATGGTTGTCCCTGAAATGAACCTCGAAACACCATTTTCTTCGGTAAGTACCTGTTTATAATCACTCCGTTGTACCTCATCTAGTTTATCAGTCTATCAGTGCCATTAACAAGAGGCCAGTTTGCACTGTTCTCTGCAACTTTGTCCCATTTAAGACGAATTACGTTTAATATAAAAGATAGCATTTTAAGTTAATCTACCAAATAAATAACTGTATTGGCTTTACGTCCGGTGAGTCGAAAGGACGCAGGTACGCAAAGTCGGCTTTTGTTGTTGTTGTTCCCGACATAGATTACGCAACCTGCATTGTCAGGATTTGCAAATGTGCTAAAAGAAGGAAGAAAGAGAGAAATACACACACACACACATACATATACATATACATATACATATACATATACACATACACATACACATACACATACACATACACATACACATACACAAACACAAACACAAACACAAACACAAACACAAACACAAACACAAACACCACACACACATATATGTATATATATATATATATATATATATATATATATATATATACAGATATAGAAATAGAAATAGATATGTCTAAATATATATATATATATATATATATATATATATATATATGCATATATATATATATATATATATATATATATATATATATATATATATATATATATATATATATATATATATATATATATGCATATATATATTCATAAATAAATAAATAAATATGTATATATATATGTACATATATCAAAGTAAATCAAAGAATTACACAAACAGTTAATTGCTAAAGCCCACAACAAACAAACACAGAGCAGCGACTGAACAGTAAACGAACACCCCTTCAAGCCGCCAAAAGAGAGGACTTCGACACATAAAGAATGTAATAAAAAGCCGCCAAGGACACCGCTCCAAGAGTCCCTGTTCTAATTCGGACGAGACGGTATCCCCGCTTCCTTGCTTCCTTCCTCCTCTTCCTCTTCCGTCTTCTCTCCCTCTTTGTTTCTTTGTTTGTTTCATTGCTTTTCTTTCTTTTTCTTTCTTTCTGTTTACTTTCTTTTTTTCTTTCTCTTTCTTTCTTTCTTATTTTCTTATTTTCTTTCTTTCTTATTTTCTTTCTTTCTTATTTTCTTTCTTTCTTATTTTCTTTCTTTCTTATTTTCTTTCTTTCTTTCTTTCTTTCTTTCTCTCTTTCTCTCTCTCCCTTCACGCTCCCTCCTGCTCTCTTTCTCTCTTCCTGCTCGCTCCCCCTCTTCCCCCTTTCCCCTCCCCCTCCCCCTCCCCCTTCCACATTCTCCCCCTCCTGCCCCCCCACCCCCACCCCGCCACACCTGCCGGCCACTGCCCCAGAAAGTGTGACAGTGCCTCGACTGCCCTGCCTGCGTGCGTGTCTTGTCCTTAATTCTTGCCCGTTTTCCCTTCTCCTGACGCCCTGTTTTCCCTTTGCAGAACCTGATCATGTCAGCTGTCTCGGAGGAAAGACATCGTGTCAGACGTGAGTATTTATTCCTTTATTTGTTCTTTAGGCTTTCGATCTCGATTCGTGTTAGTGGTAATGATAAACAGTAAATGTGCCAGTGATAATGATATGATGGTGATGAAATAAGATAATGAATATAAAGTCATCGTATATTAATATAAGAAAAATGATTGCATATGGAAACAAAAATTTTATGGTCAGTAGACAGACAACCATCCATACTATATATATATATATATATATATATATATATATATATATATATATATATATATATATATATATATATATATATCAACTGTAAGGCTACCATTCAATCCTATAATCGACTCCCATCCCCTCGCCTCAGGATCCGCCGGCGCCTCCTCCCGCAGCGTGACCTACGGCTCCAGCGTCTCCCTGAAGCTGAGGCTGAAGGGCGACCAAGCGAACTTCCTGCAGGCGACGGCTGACGGAGGCGCCCTGGCCGTCGGGCTGCAGCAGAACTCGGAGACGGGTAAGTGGTCGCTCTTTCTTTTTGTTTCTCTCTCTCTCTCCTTCGGTATGTGTCTGTCTGTGTATCCTCGTCTCTGTTTTTTTCTGTTTTCTTCTACATCTGATTCTTTTCTATTATTTTCTCTTTGTATTTCCTTAAGTGTCCAGTTCTATTTTGTTCTATATCTGTCTTTCTCTCTCTCTCGTTAGACCTATAGGAAATGATAATTTTGTTAGCAAACATTTTCCTGTTATCAACTTTTTTTTGTTAACGTCGTTCTCTCTCTCCCCTTTTTATTGCAG